ACCATCGATGTCATAACCGTCCATACAATCATTGATGTCATAACCGTCCATACAATCATTGATGTCATAACCATTCATAATAATTGTCCATCCAACCATTGATGTCATAACCGTCCATCCAACCATGGATGTAATTATAGCTCCATCCAACCATCAATGTCATAACCGTCTATCCAACCGCTGATGTCATAACCGTCCATCCAACCATCAATGTCATAACCATCCATCCAACCGCTGATGTCATAACCGTCTATCCAACCATCGATGTCATAACCGTCCATCCAACCATCAATGTCATAACCGTCTATCCAACTGCTGATGTCATAACCGTCCATCCAACCATTTATGTCATAACCATCCATCCAACCATCGCTTCCATAACCATCCATCCAACCATCGATGTCATAACCGTCCATCCAACCATCAATGTCATAACCGTCTATCCAAACCGCTGATGTCATAACCATCCATCCAACCATCGCTGTCATAACCGTCCATCCAACCATCGATGTCATAACCGTCCATCCAACCATCGATGTCATAACCGTCCATCCAACCATCGATGTCATAACCGTCCATCCAACCATCGATGTCATAACCGTCCATCCAACCATCGATGTCATAACCGTCTATCCAACCGCTGATGTCATAACCATCCATCCAACCATCGATGTCATAACCGTCCATCCAACCATCGATGTCATAACCGTCCGTCCAACCATCGATGTCATAACCGTCCGTCCAACCATCGATGTCATAACCGTCCGTCCAACCATCGATGTCATAACCGTCCGTCCAACCATCGATGTCATAACCGTCCGTCCAACCATCGATGTCATAACCGTCCGTCCAACCATCGATGTCATAACCGTCCGTCCAACCATCGATGTCATAACCGTCCATCCAACCATCGATGTCATAACCGTCCATCCAACCATCGATGTCATAACCGTCCATCCAACCATCGATGTCATAACCGTCCATCCAACCATCGATGTCATAACCGTCCATCCAACCATCGATGTCATAACCGTCCATCCAACCATCGATGTCATAACCGTCCATACAATCATTGATGTCATAACCGTCCATACAATCATTGATGTCATAACCCATTCATAATAATTGTCCATCCAACCATCGATGTCATAACCGTCCATCCAACCATGGATGTAATTATAGCTCCATCCAACCATCAATGTCATAACCGTCTATCCAACCGCTGATGTCATAACCGTCCATCCAACCATCAATGTCATAACCATCCATCCAACCGCTGATGTCATAACCGTCTATCCAACCATCGATGTCATAACCGTCCATCCAACCATCAATGTCATAACCGTCTATCCAACCGCTGATGTCATAACCGTCCATCCAACCATTTATGTCATAACCATCCATCCAACCATCGCTTCCATAACTGTCCATCCAACCATCGATGTCATAACCGTCCATCCAACCATCAATGTCATAACCGTCTATCCAACCGCTGATGTCATAACCATCCATCCAACCATCGCTGTCATAACCGTCCATCCAACCATCGATGTCATAACCGTCCATCCAACCATCGATGTCATAACCATCCATCCAACCATTGATGTCATAACCATCCATCCAACCATCGTTGTCATAACCGTCCATCCAACCATCGATGTCATAACAGTCCATCCAACCATCGATGTCATCCAACCTTCAACCTTGTTGTTGTGTCCTTCTTATGGATGGGGGGGGTTCAATGGTGGAAAATTGTAATATCCTCTTACACAGGACATGGGCTTCTTTCCTAATTTGGGGAGCAGATTCTTTAAATGATAGTTATAGAAGTACAAGTAGGAACCTTGTGTGAATATCTGCCTCAAAATGACCAATGTGTGGAAGTTACCGTATCTGTCTTACTTATACTTTTATGATGTTATAAACAGAACTCTGCAGCTGATGTATATACATAAGGCCTCTTTCACATAGGCAGCTCCGGGGGAGGGGGGCAGAATAAATAGGTGGCTGGGCTGTGGATTTACTGTATATAGTGTGTGTGTGTATATACTTTATATTATATAGAGTACAGTTTACATACATGTAATGATGTCCATCACTGGGCCTCTGTGCTTCTCTATGCAATGCAGGCAGATCATGGCTGGTGGGAAGGGCCGGCAGGGTGCTGTGCATAACTTCCTGCAAACATCCCGGCCTCAGTACGCCTCTCAAGAGCCCCTCCCCCAGCCCTGATGCAGGCAGTGGGAGGAGTTATGCAAATATCAAAATGCTTTGATGGGCGGGCTTCAGTCCCACAGAGTTGGTTTCTCTGGGCAGGTCGCACTGTCCTAAATTACACCCACATATGATGTGGAGTCTCCATGATTGAAAGAACTGAAGTCCAATCAATGAAAAGGGGTGGGGCCAGAGACAGTCAAGGCTGGGGAGGAAAGAGCTAGAATGGGTGTCAAACCGGCGGCCCTCCAGCTGTTGCAAAACTACAAGTCCCATCATGCCTCTGCCTTTGGGAGTCGTGCTTGTAACTGTCAATCTTGCAATGCCTCATGGGACTTGTAGTTTGGCAACAGCTGTGGAGGGCACCAGTTTGACACCCGTGGATGATGCTGGATATCCTCCAGCCAGGAAATGAGGCGGGCCCTAATGAATGATAGAGGCGGGACCAGGGACAGTCAAGGCTGGGGAGGAAAGACTAGATGATGATGCTGGACGTTCTCCAGCCAGGAAATGAGGCGGGCCCTAATGAATGAAAGGGGCGGGACCAGGTACAGTCAAGGCTGGGGAGGAAAATGCTAGATGATGCTGGATGCCCTTCAGCCAGGAAATGAGGCGGGCCCTAATGAATGATAGAGGCGGGGCCAGGGACAGTCAAAGCTGGGGAGGAAAGGGCTAGAATGGGTGTCAAACTGGTGGCTCTCCAGCTGTTGGGAAACTACAAGTCCCATCATGCCTCTACCTTTGGGAGTCATGCTTGTAACTGTCAATCTTGCAATGCCTCATGGGACTTGTAGTTTGGCAACAGCTGTGGAGGGCCACCAGTTTGACACCCATGGATGATGCTGGATATCCTCCAGCCAGGAAATGAGTTGGGCCCTAATGAATGATAGAGGCGGGGCCAGGGACAGTCAAGGCTGGGGAGGAAAGAGCTAGAATGGGTGTCAAACTGGTGGCCCTCCAGCTGTTGGGAAACTACAAGTCCCATCATGCCTCTGGCCTTTGGGAGTCGTGCTTGTAACTGTCAATTTTGCAATGCCTCATGGGACTTGTAGTTTGGCAACAGATGTGAAGGACCACGAGTTTGACACCCGTGGATGATGCTGGACGTTCTCCAGCCAGGAAATGAGGCGGGCCCTAATGAATGATAGAGGCGGGGCAAGGGACAGGCAAGGCTGGGGAGGAAAGTGCTAGATGATGCTGGGTGTCCTCCAGCCAGGAAATGAGGTGGGCCCTAATGAATGATAGAGGCGGGGCCAGGGACAGTTAAGGCTGGGGAGGAAAGGCTAGATGATGATGCTGGACGTCCTTCAGCCAGGAAATGAGGCGGGCCCTAATTAATGAAAGGGGCGGGACCAGGGACAGTCAAGGCTGGGTAGGAAAGTGCTAGATGATGCTGGATGTCCTCCAGCCAGGAAATGAGGCGGGCCCTAATGAATAATAGAGGCGGGGCCTGGGACAGTCAAAGCTGGGGATGAGAGGGCTAGAATGGGTGTCAAACTGGTGGCCCTCCAGCTGTTGCAAAACTACAAGTCCCATCATCTGTCAGGGCTCCCAGGTATGACCAGAGATGTGTGACTGACGCAGGGAAACGCAGACTTCAGATATATTATAAACAATATAATTTATTAACACTAACAATACAAACATAAACGCAGGGCAATACTAAACATAATACAGTGCAAACAAACCAAACCAACCACCCACAGATAACAGTACATACAAGCAAGCGTCGTCAGGCAGGCCGGGTCAATATCAATTGGGCAGGTAGGTACAGGGGGAGCAAGCGGAGAATGGTCGGGGTCACAGGCCAGGTTCAGCAGGTAGCAAGCAGCGTAGTACAGAGGGTCAAGCAGAGGGATGGTCAGGGTCACAAGCCAGGGATCAGGACAGGTAGCAAGCAGCGTAGTACAGAAGGTCAGCAAAGGAACAGAAACAGGATGCAGGACAGATACAGGGCCCAGACAAACACACACCAAGGCAGAGTCTGTGGGTCTGGCCATCCCTTAAAATACCCCAGCATAATCAGTTCCAGGTGTTAGCTGGCTGCAAAGTTGAGTCTCTGATTGCTGGGAGCACCCGCTGGCCAGCCCTGGTACTGCAGATCAAAAGGCAGGTGAGTCCCACCATTGCTGGCCAGTCCATTCCTGACAGTACCCCCCCCTCAAGGAGCGGCCTCAGGACGCTCCAAACAGTCCTAGCTGGGAAAAATGTTCCACCGCCCGGGTCTGGTAACTGGCGGGATATCAAAGACTGGCACACCTGGCAGGACTCCGGGCAGCGGTACACCAGGCAGAGGCACATCGGGCTGGACACCGGGCAGAGGCACATTGGGCTGGACTCCGGGCAGAAGCACATCGGGCAGAGGCACACCGGGCTGGACTCCGGGCAGAGGCACATCGGGCAGAGGCACATCGGGCTGGACTCCGGGCAGAGGCACATCGGGCTGGACTCCGGGCAGAGGCACATCGGGCTGGACTCCGGGCAGAGGCACATCGGGCAGGACTCCGGGCAGAGGCACATCGGGCAGGACTCCGGGCAGAGGCACATCGGGCAGGACTCCGGGCAGAGGCACATCGGGCAGGACTCCGGGCAGAGGCACATCGGGCTGGACTCCGGGCAGAGGCACATCGGGCTGGACTCCGGGCAGAGGCACATCGGGCTGGACTCCGGGCAGAGGCACATCGGGCTGGACTCCGGGCAGAGGCACATCGGGCTGGACTCCGGGCAGAGGCACATCGGGCTGGACTCCGGGCAGAGGCACATCGGATTACCGGGCGGGGCGACAGGCGCCGGGCCCCCAGGCGGGGCGACAGGCGCCGGGCCCCCAGGCGGGGCGACAGGCGCCGGGCCCCCAGGCGGGGCGACACAGGCGCCGGGCCCCAGGTGGTGCGACAGGTCTCGGGCCCTCAGGCGGAGCGGCGGGCGCCGGACCCCCAGGCGGAGCGACAGGTCTCGGGCCCTCAGGCGGAGCGGCGGGCGCCGGACCCCCCCAGGTGGAGCGACAGGTCTCGGGCCCTCAGGCGCAGCGGCGGGTGCCGGACCCCCAGGTGGAGCGACAGGTCTCGGGCCCGCAGGCGGAGCGGCGGGCGCCGGACCCCCAGGTGGAGCGACAGGTCTCGGGCCCTCAGGCGCAGCGGCGGGTGCCGGACCCCCAGGTGGAGCGACAGGTCTCGGGCCCCCAGGCGGAGCGACAGGTCTCGGGCCCTCAGGAGGAGCGGCGGGCGCCGGACCCCCAGGCGGAGCGACAGGTCTCGGGCCCTCTGGCGGAGCGGCGGGCGCCGGACCCCCAGGCGGAGCGACAGGTCTCGGGCCCTCAGGCGGAGCGCGGCGGGCGCCGGACCCCCAGGTGGAGCGACAGGTCTCGGGCCCTCAGGCGGAGCGCGGCGGGCGCCGGACCCCCAGGTGGAGCGACAGGTCTCGGGCCCTCAGGCGGAGCGGCGGGCGCCGGACCCCCAGGTGGAGCGACAGGTCTCGGGCCCTCAGGTGGAGCGGCGGGCGCCGGATCCCCAGGTGGAGTGACAGGTCTCGGGCCCCCAGGCGGGCGGAGCGACAGGTCTCGGGCCCTCAGGCGGAGCGACAGGTCTCGGGCCCCCAGGCGGAGCGACAGGTCTCGGGCCCCCAGGCGGAGCGGCGGCGGGCGCCGGACCCCCAGATGGAGCGACAGGTCTCGGGCCCTCAGGCGGAGCGGCGGGCGGGCGCCGGACCCCCAGGTGGAGCGACAGGTCTCGGGCCCCCAGGCGGAGCGGCGGGCGCCGGACCCCCAGGTGGAGCGACAGGTCTCGGGCCCCCAGGCGGAGCGACAGGTCTCGGGCCCTCAGGCGGAGCGGCAGGCGCCGGACCCCCAGGTGGAGCGACAGGTCTCGGGCCCTCAGGCAGAGCGGGCGGGCGCCGAGTCATCTGGCACGACAGTGGGCTCCGAGTCAACTGGCATGACCGCTGGCACTGGGTCAGACATTGGATCGTCTGGCTGGACAGCGGGCATCGGGTCACCAGGCATCAGGTCATTTGGCTCGCCAGCGGGCACCGCGTCATCTGGCAAGGCAGTGGGCACCGAGTCACCAGGTACGACAGCGGGCTCTGAGTCAATAGGCACAACAGCGAGCAGCACCGGATCATCTGGATCAACAGCGGGCATCGAGTCAACTGGCCTAATAGGATCATCAGGCTGGATCAGTTCATCATGCTGGGTAGAGGCATCAGGCTGAATGCCGGCGTCCGGCTGAGTAGAGGCATCCGGCTGAGGAGAGGCTTCCGGCTGAGTAGAGGCTTCAGGCTGAGTAGAGGCTTCAGGCTGAGTCACGGAAGGCAGGCTCACCGGTTTGGATACTGGCAGGATGGTATTGGTTGGAAAGAATTTTCGCTTTTTTTCTGGTTTTAACTACTGGGGCACTGCAAGTAAACGCAGGTCTGCAAACGAATGGAGCAGCTGGAGACAGAGAAGAACTGGAGGATGGAACAGGAGAGGGAGCAGTTGCTACAGAGGGCTTTTTTACAGGGTTAAAGGCAGGATAGGTGCAGCGAGTGGGAACAGGGGACTGACATGCGGTAGATAGCCAAGTATACTGGGCTGTAACTGGAGGAGCTGGTGGGAATACAGGAGTAGAGTTAGAAGCAGGACTGGGTCTTTGTAAGCTGACTGAGGCTGGGTGCAACAAATCTGTCCATGTCTGCAGTATGGGTTGAACAAAGCTGAGCTTACACAAAGCCTGTCTGGTCAATGACTGCACTGCGTTGATACAATCTCTTAGTGTCTGTGGTGAACATGTGGAATAACGCTCCAGAAAGTAACCCACATCATCCTCTAATAACCACACCAGGGACTCTAAACCTGGTCTGCACTAAATGGTGGCAAAAATTCATCCCTGCATTCGGGGGAACCAGATGAAACCAACTCTGCACAAACCTCAATCAAAGGCTGCACCTCAGAGAACTCTGTGCCCTGATCTACTAGAACATGAGCGATCCGTATACATTCTAGCAGTTCATCCCGGGGATACTCCCTCAGAGTCTGATAAGCATACTCCCTGTCATCAAACACTAGCAGATATAAATACGCAACCTCATCCAGATCCATCCTTCCCATCAACAAACCAAGATGGCTTCCCTGTGCAGCCACTTCTGGTCAGGATTGGCCTTGGTGTAATGTCAGGGCTCCCAGGTATGACCAGAGATGTGTGACTGACGCAGGGAAACGCAGACTTCAGATATATTATAAACAATATAATTTATTAACACTAACAATACAAACATAAACGCAGTGCAATACTAAACATAATACAGTGCAAACAAACCAAACCAACCACCCACAGATAACAGTACATACAAGCAAGCGTCGTCAGGCAGGCCGGGTCAATATCAATTGGGCAGGTAGGTACAGGGGGAGCAAGCGGAGAATGGTCGGGGTCACAGGCCAGGTTCAGCAGGTAGCAAGCAGCGTAGTACAGAGGGTCAAGCAGAGGGATGGTCAGGGTCACAAGCCAGGGATCAGGACAGGTAGCAAGCAGCGTAGTACAGAGGGTCAGGCAGAGGGATGGTCAGGGTCACAAGCCAGGGATCAGGACAGGTAGCAAGCAGCGTAGTACAGAGGGTCAGCAAAGGAACAGAAACAGGATGCAGGACAGATACAGGGCCCAGGACAAACACACACCAAGGCAGAGTCTGTGGGTCTGGCCATCCCTTAAAATACCCCAGCATAATCAGTTCCAGGTGTTAGCTGAGTCTCTGATTGCTGGGAGCACCCGCTGGCCAGCCCTGGTACTGCAGATCAAAAGGCAGGTGAGTCCCACCATTGCTGGCCAGTCCATTCCTGACATCATCCCTCTGCCTTTGGGAGTCGTGCTTGTAACTGTCAGTCTTGCAATGTCTCATGGGACTTGTAGTTTGGCAACAGATGTGAGGAACCGCCAGTTTGACACCCGTGGATGATGCTGGACGTTCTCCAGCCAGGAAATGAGGCGGGCCCTAATGAATGATAGAGGCGGGGCCAGGGACAGGCCAGGCTGGGAAGGGCTAGATGATGCTGGATGTCCACCAGCCAGGAAATGAGGCGGAGCTCTGTCTGACTTGCTGCAGCTTCTAATGCACATTGTGAGGAGCTCACAGTGTGCGGTGAAATCAGAGTGAGCTGGAGGTCAGATGTGAAGGGACCTGATGCCAAAAAATAATGAGAAACCCATGCGGGATGTACATACTCTCCATATTACTGTTAGATTTTATAACTCTTTATATGCAAGTGACACCTGAAAATCCATGTGATTCCTCTGATCAGGTATTGGAAGATGTTCCATCTCTTCTCCCATTGCTGGCACTGCATGCAGAAGAAGCAAGAGCCAATCAGGTGAGTCCGACACCGGAATACCAACCGTCTTTATAAACGGAATAAAAATCTCATTATGAGATGGATGGATGTCACCAGGACAGGAATAGAGGGGAGATCGTTCGATGGGGACACCAGTTCAGGGATTCCCTCACTTTGCAGGGGGTTTCCCCTCCCTTCCTGTTTGGTCTAGGCGACAGGAAGATGATGGGAAATCTCCCCAATGGGGACACAGATGGGAAAAAGAACACAGATTTAGGTAATGTTCTGGTCCATAGGGATGTCCTCTATGTAATGGGGTGACTGTTGTCTTGCAGGAAGGTGACGATCGTCTTCTTGGGGCTGGAACATGCTGGAAAAACTTCGGTCATCAGAACCATCAGAAGAGGTGAGATTATAGAATTCTTCAATCAGAGAAGAGTTCACCTTTCCCAAAATTCCATCTAATAGGTCTCCTATGTACAGGGGCGGACTGACCATTTGGAAACTCGGGCACTGCCTGAGGGCCCGGGGTCAGTAGGGGGCCCCATGAGATGCCCCTGGTACCTTTTTCATAGGCTTTTTTGAGTTTGGGCAAGGACATAGGGGCCCCATGATCCCCTATTGCCCGAGGGCCCCATGAGTTGTCAGTCTGCCCCTTCCTATGTAGCACAGCCTGCAAAATAAAAATTGGAATTGTTTTTGGGTCTGGGGATTTGAAATGCACAACCGCATGAGATGGGTATGGACATGAACAGTGTCGGGACTTCTGGGGGCAGGAGGGGAAGTTGCCCTGGGTTCAGTTTGGGGGAAGGGGGCACCACAAGGCAGCAGCCCATAGAGTACATTCAACCAAGTTGCCCCTTACATCCTCAAATGACCCACCTTGCTGCCCCACCTTCTGAAAGGTCACATGATGTCACAGGGTCCTTTTTGTCTCCATTCTGGGCTGGGGAAGAGGTTGTGAATGATGCTTAGAACCACCAGTGCCCCTCTCTATACCATTAGACAATGATACTGTGGTGATACCTCCTCGGGGGCAGGACACTGACACCCTACATTCGCATTTTGTGTAGGGGTTCTGCAGGGGACAGCCCTAGGTTGAAGGTCAGTAGTGAAGCCTGGGCTGCTTTTTATTTTGGGCTTTAAGTCATCTTGGAGGACAAACAACTTAAATTTAGATTTGACATTTGAGGTATCAACTTTGCACTCCAAAAATCTGATTTTTTTTCTTCCCTTTCTAGTTTATCCATCTCAGGTCTCCCCGTCTTCTGATCCTCTGAAAACTCACCTTCGTCTTGACCACTTTGATCTCACTCTTCTCGAGCTGCCCAGTGGACAGAAGGCCAGAGCCAACTGGAGATTATATTACCCCCAAGCCCATGCATTTGTCTTTTTAGTGGATTCTAGTGACCCGGGAGGATTACAGGAAGTAGCGAGTATCCTCCCGTGTATCCTTAAACACCCAAAAGTGTCTGGGAAGCCACTTTTAATGTAAGTTCTTCAATTTTGTATCGTTGTTAGATACAGAGACCTGAACATCAACACCTACATGAGCTTGTTGGACATCCTATTCCGAAACATGGCAATTAATATGCTGTTGGTCCCTCTTTGTGGCTATAACATCCTCCACTCTTCTGGGAAGACTTTCCACATGATTTTGGAGAGTGCCTGTGGCAATTTGTGCCCATTGGTGAGGTTAGGTACTGATGATGGATAAGATCTTGCTCACAGTCACATTCCAATTCATTCCAAAGGTGTTCCGTAAGGTTGAGATCAGAGTTCTCTGCAGGACTTTCAAGTTCCTCCATACCAAACTGGTCACACCATGTCTTTATTGAGCTGTATTTGTACACAGTAGAACAGTCATGCTTGAAAAGAAAAAGGTGTTCAGTAGTGTTGAGGTCCATAGATGTTTGCTAGGGTTGAGGTCCAAAGGTGTTCAGTAGGGCTGAAGTCCAATGGTGTTCAGTAGGGTTGAGGTCCAAAGGTGTTCAGTGAGGTTGAGGTCCAAAGGTGTTCAATGGGGCTGAGGTCCAAACGTGTTCAGTAGGGCTGAGGTCTATAGATGTTTAGTAAAGTTGAGGTCCATTGATGTTCAGTAGGGTTGAGGTCCATAGATGTTTAATAGAGCTGAAATGCATTGATGTTCAGTGGAGTTGAGATACATAGATGTTCAGTAGGGTTGAGATCCAAAGCTTTTCAGTAGGAATGAGGTCCAAAGGTGTTCAGTAGAGTTGCGGTCCAAAGGTGTTCAGTAGGACTGAGGTCCAAAGGTGTTCAGTAGAGTTGCGGTCCAAAGGTGTTCAGTAGGACTGAGGTCTAAAGGTGTTTAGTAGAGTTGAGGTCCATAGATGTTCAGTGAGGTTGAGGTCCAAAGGTGTCCAGTAGAGTTGAGGTACATAGATGTTCAGTAGGGTTGAGATCCAAAAGTGTTCAGTAGGGTTGAGGTCCATAGATGTTTAGTAGGGTTGAGATCCAAAAGTGTTCAGTAGGGTTGAGTCCATAGATGTTTAGTAGGGTTGAGGTCCATCGATGTTCAGTAGGATTGAGGTCCAAAGGTGTTCAGTAGGGCTGAAGTCCAATGGTGTTTGATAGGGTTGAGGTCCATAGATGTTCAGTGAGGTTGAGGTCCAAGGGTGTTAAGTAGGGTTGAGTTCCAAGGGTGTTTTAGTAAGGTTGAGGTCCAAAGGTATTCAGTAGGGTTGAGGTCCAAGGGTGCTCAGAAGGGTTGCAGTCCATAGATGTTCAGTAGGATTGAGGTTAGGGCTTTGTGCCGAACACTTGAGTTCCCGGACTGCACATTCATATTTCTAACAATCGTATTTTTTTACTGCCTATACTGAATCCATTTTCTTTTTTGCAGATTTGCTAATAAACAGGACAGAGCCTACGCGCTTCTACCCAGCGAAATCATTGAACTGCTGTCACTGGAAAAACTGGTGAATGAGAACAAGACGCTTTGCAGAATTGTACGTCCATTTTTTAATTTGTTGCAAGTAGTTGGTCATACAGGAATCACATTCTTAACGGGCTCTGCTGTGGCTGTGTTTCAAGGGCTTTGTGGAATTTGTAATTGAAGGAGCACTCGACAATAAGTGGTAGCCAGGGGCGGACTGACAACTCATGGGGCCCCCGGGCAATAGGGGATCATGGGGCCCCTGTGTCCTTGCCCAAACTCAAAAAAGCCTATGAAAAAGGTATCAGGGGCATCTCATGGGGCCCCCTACTGACCCCGGGTCCTCGGGCAGTTCCAAATGGTCAGTCCGCCCCTGGTGGTAGCCTAGTACCAGGATCAAACAGACTGAGCACATAGACCTATAGGGACAGAATTCGGTTTACTTAAGCTTGGCATTGTTTGCAAAAATGTTTAAAAAATCATTTTAGGCCTAAAGATTAGTTAAAACCGCCCAAAATTATATATTTCTGAAAGCAGACACCCTGGAGAATAAAATAGTGGTAGTTCCATTTTTTTTATGTCACACGATATTCGTGCAACGACATATTAAGCTCAAATTTCAGGGAAAAAAATACATTAAAGGTAATTTTAGGCTACACAAGCACAATATTTTACCCAATGTAAACAATGAGGGTGCGTCGAGTAAATAGATACAATATATCCTCCTTATAGCTATCCAGCCCACATGAAAGAAAAATATATTTGAAATATATTTTAAAAATATTCTTCCCAAATATATTGACATATATTTGAAATTCTACAGTTTTGGCCGTATTCAATATATTTCAAAATATATTTAAATAAATAAATATATATATATATATATATATATATGTGTGTATGTGTATATATATATACATACATACATACAACATGCAGTATATTTTTATATATATATATATATATATATATATATATATCGGGGGCGGACTGACCATCTGGAAACTTGGCCACTGCCCGAGGGCCCGGGGGCAGTAGGGGGCCCCATGAGATGCCCCGGTACCTTTTTCATAGGCTTTTTTGAGTTTGGGCAAGGACACAGGGGCTCCATGATCCCCTATTGCCCGAGGGCCCCATGAGTTGTCAGTCCGCCCTGATATATATATATATATATATATATATACACACAAATATACACTGCATGTTGAAATGCGTTTTTTTTTTATAAACCACAAAATATATGAAAAATATTTTAAAAAATATATTTTCTTTAAATATATTCTTCAGATTTTTTTTAACATATGAAAAAGTAATTTTAACATATATTTTTACATATATTTGTAAATTCATTCCAAAAATGTACATTTGTATTTTTAAAGACATACAGTATATTGGAAATGTATTTTTAAAAATATTTTCCGTATATTTTGTAATAAAAACGCATTTCAACATGCAGTATATATAAATATATTTATTTATTTATTTATTTCAGGTACTTATCAGGCACCGTCAATTTATGCAGCGCTTTACATATTGTACATTCACGTCAGTCCCTAACCCTCAAGGGGTGTACAGTCTAAGGTCCCTAACTCACATTCATACATACACATACAAGGGACAATTTAGACAGGAGCCAATTAACCTACCAGCATGTCTTTGGAGTGTGGGAGGAAACCGGAGTACCCGGAGGAAACCCACACAGACACAGGGAGAACATGCAAACATCAGGCAGGTGGTGCCGTGGCTGGGATTCGAACCAACGACCCTAGTGCTGCCAGGAGGAAGTGCTAACCACTTAGCCACTGTGCCGCCCAATATATATATTTATTTATTGAAATATATTGAATATGACCAAAATTGTAGCATTTCAAACGTATGTCAATATATTTGGGAAGAATATTTTTAAAATATATTTCAAATATATTTTTCTTCCATACAGGAGGGACTGGATTGTTCGCTGGTTTCCCTCCCCTCTATCTGGTGCAGGGGCGGACTGACCATTTGGAAACTCGGGCACTGCCCGAGGGCCCGGGGTCAGTAGGGGGCCCCATGAGATGCCCCTGGTACCTTTTTCATAGGCTTTTTTGAGTTTGGGCAAGGACACAGGGGCCCCATGATTCCCTATTGCCCGGGGGCCCCATGAGTTGTCAGTCCACCCCTGATCTGGTGACACCCAGCAAGGGGTTCCTGCGCCAGCAGGTGGGAAAGCATAGCCCGAAAAACATGCCTGGGGGGGGGGGGCAATGTACTGGGGGTGCATAGAGGTGATTGGGCGGCTGTACAGCCAACGGTTGGCTTGCCAGATTTACAGGCGTGTGTGTAAAACAACCCACTGCTGCCAACGTATGACGTACGCCAGTGGAGACGAAAGGGTTAAAGGAAAGAAAAATGATCAGCAAAAAATAATATAGCCTATAAAATTGGCACACAAGTCATTTTTAATTTATTAAAAGTTGGCTTTCCATTTCGATCGGCTGCCGTTGTCATTTCCTAAAACTGCAAAAAAAATAAATTAGCATGAAATAAAAAAAAAATACAAATAAATCAACAACTATAAATAATAGAACCCCACTGACAGAGTCTGCTATGCCTTTCATTGGACAGGAACCGTGCTCAGCAACTCCAGAGCTCCGTTCCCATTACGACTGGATGATTCTGAAGGGACTGCGGTGGATTCTAAAGTCTGTAACCCTCAGCTACTCAGCGCTCAACGCTAGCGTCCTACAAGAAACCACGGAGCAAAAAGAAAGTATACATCACAGAACCGCCGTAAAACCATGGAATGTCAGGTACTAGAACCGAACTGAGAACAAAGCAGAAACGGAGGGGCAATAGGGAGAAGGTTAAATATGGGTTATGTGTAACTGGTGCCATATCTAGAAATATTATACATTTGGAGAAATCTTTTCTTTTTGTTTCAAAAAATTTTATTGAAGTTTCAAAGAATATTCACAAACGTTCAAGCAAATGAACGGAAATAGTACATAGCTTCATTTAACCATCAGATCACCGCCGTCAGCTGGATCCATAAACCACAGGCAGATGTTTCAGCAACCTGAATTTGGACTAGAAATAGTAATCCTAGGGACCTCCAGTGCCTGTACTGGAGGGAAATGGGGTGGGGACAGGACTTGGAAGTATGGGGGTTAACTTGGGGGAGTGGAAAGTCAGCCTTGAGCAGGGTCAAAATGGGTTTAATTGTAGAGGGCAGGTATTTCAATCCCTAGATTGAAGGGAAAAAGTGGTGGTTGGGGGGGGGGGGGGGGTTGGAAGTTTGGATAGCCTCTGTTCTGGAAGGAGAAAGTCTATTCAGGATTGGTGTCTTTAAAATTGTCTTGTCTCCAACCTTCTAGGAGTAGGAAGTCTGTCCAGGAGTGTTGTCTTTAAAATTGTCTTGTCTCCAACCTTCTAGGAGTAGGAAGTCTATCCAGGAGTGTTGTCTTTTAAATTGCCAGGTCTCCAACCTTCTAGAAGTAGGAAGTCTATCCAGGAGTGTTGTCTTTTAAATTGCTAAGTATCCAACCTTCTAGAAGTAGGAAGTCTGTCCAGGAGTGATGTCTTTTAAATTGCCAAGTATCCAACCTTCTAGAAGTAGGAAGTCTGTCCAGGAGTGATGTCTTTTAAATTGCCAGGTCTCCAATGTTCTCAAAGTAGGAAGTCTGTCCAGGAGTGATGTCTTTTAAATTGCCAGGTCGCCAACCTTCTTCAAGTAGGATGTCTATCCAGGAGTGTTGTCTTTTAAATTTTCAGGTCTCCAACCTTCTAAAAGTAGGAAGACTGTCCAGGAGTGGTGTCTTTTAAATTGCCAGGTCTCCATATTTCTAGAAGTAGGGAATCTATCCAAGAGTGTTGTCTTTTAAATTCTCTGTTATCCAACCTTCTAGAAGTAGGAAGTCTATCCAGGAGTGATGTCTTTTAAATTTCCAGGTCTCCAATGTTCTAAAAGTAGGAAGTCTATCCAGGAGTGATGTCTTTTAAATTGCCAGGTCTCCAACCTTCTAGAAATAGGAAGTCTGTCCAGGAGTGATGTCTTTTAAATTGCCAGGTCGCCAACCTTCTAGAAGTAGGAAGTCTATCCAGGAGTGGTGTCTTTTAAATTGCCAGGTCTCCAACCTTCTAGAAGTAGGAAGTCTGTCCAGGAGTGATGTCTTTTAAATTGCCAGGTCGCCAACCTTCTTCAAGTAGGATGTCTATCCAGGAGTGTTGTCTTTTAAATTGCCAAGTCTCCAACCTTCTAGAAGTAGGAAGTCTGTCCAGGAGTGGTGTCTTTTAAATTGCCAGGTCTCCAATGTTCTAAAAGTAGGAGGTCTATCCAGGAGTGTTGTCTTTTAAATTGCCAGGTCTCCAACCTTCTAGAAGTAGGAAGTCTATCCAGGAGTGTTGTCTTTTAAATTGCCAGGTCTCCAACCTTCTAGAAATAGGAAGTCTATCCAGGAGTAGTGTCTTTTAAATTGCCAGGTCTCCAACCTTCTAGAAGTAGGAGGTCTATCCAGGAGGGCGTCTTTTAAATTGTCTGGTCTACATATTTTTTGAAGTAGGCCATCTATCCAGGAGTGTTGTCTTTTAAATTGCCAGGTCTACAACCTTCCAGAACAGGCGAGTCACAGTGGTGGCCCTCCAGCTGTTGCAAAACTAAAAGTCCCATCATGCCTCTGCCTTTGAGACTCATGCTTGTGACTGTCAATCTTGTAGTGCCTCATGGGGCTTGTAGTTTGGCAACAGATGGAGGGCCGCCAGTTTGACACCTGTGTTCTAGAAGGAGAAAGTCTATTCATTCTATAGAAGGAGTGGTGTCTTTAAAATTGTCTTGTCTCCAATGTTCTAAAAGTAGGAAGTCTATCCAGGAGTGTTATCGTTTAAATTGCCAGGTCTCCAACCTTCTAGAAGTAGGAAATCTATCCAGGAGTGTTGTCTTTTAAATTGCCTGGTCTCCAACCTTCTAGAAGTAGGAATCTATCCAGGAGTGTTGTCTTTTAAATTGCCTGGTCTCCAACCTTCTAGAAGTAGGAAGTCTATCCTGGAGTGTTGTCTTTTAAATTGCCAGGTCTCCAACCTTCTAGAAGTAGGAAGTCCATCCAGGAGTGGTGTCTTTTAAATTGCCAGGTCTCCAACCTTCTAGAAGTAGGAAGTCTATCCAGGAGTGTTGTCTTTTAAATTGCCAGGTCTCCAAACTTCTAGAAGTAGGAAGTCTGTCCAGGAATGGTGTCTTTTAAATTGCCAGGTCTCCAAACTTCTAGAAGTAGGAAGTCTGTCCAGGAATGGTGTCTTTTAAATTGCCAGGTCTCCAAACTTCTAGAAGTAGGAAGTCTGTCCAGGAATGGTGTCTTTTAAATTGCCAGGTCTCCAACCTTCTAGAAGTAGGAGGTCTGTCCAGAAGTGGTGTCTTTTAAATTGCCTGGTCTCCAACTTTCCGGAAGTAGAGCGTTTACCCAGATGTCTGCTGTATCCCCCAGCAAACTCTGGGAGAAACTTTATTCTTGGTTACTGATCAATTCTTTCACTATCACACTGTTGAATGTGTGTTTTCTGCTACCATTGTAACTACGACATCCATGGCAGTAATGGAATGCAAATGAACTCACAGCCGCAATAGCAGCTGAGAGCTGGCTTACATTTCTTCAGTCGGCTTTGGGGCTTCTTTGCTCTTGATAAATGTGCCATCCTCCCCCCGCCCAACATGTGCCACCTGTGCCCTTTGGAAAAGCCAGGACATCCATTGCCAGTGTCAGGCTTTGCAGTATAAACCTGGAAGTGCTCAGCTCTGAGCACTTTTTGGTTCAGTGCTGTAAAAACACTGGCCAGCGTAGCTGGGGAAATAGGAGATCTCAATGTAAGTATTGTCAACCACCTCCTGTATAAGAGGAAAGGTAAAAAAGAAGAATAATTAAATAATGTAATGGGACATAACTACTAAACTGTAGATATCACGGGACACCCTATTTCAACAGATAAGTTCTGTGTTGCAGTGATCTGCCAAAATGGAAGGTGACCGATGAGGAAATCACGGACCTTCACAAACCATTCCCGTGTGGCAAAAAAAGAGCCCTGAAGCCCATACAGAATATACTGACACAGGTAATAAATAGATAAAATGTCTTTTATATTATTTGTCAGCTTTATATTAAGAGAAAATATCTTCTAGTAATTAAGATCAGTGGTCTCCAAACTGCAGGCCTTTGGATGCTGCCTTTTGCTTGACTTTATCCTGCCCTTGGGGTACAAATATTCCATCTTTTACAAGTTACTATTTCTCCCACTGACACCAACAATGCAGCACCATTCATTTCAGTGACACCAACAATGGGGTATGATTCCTCCCACTGATACCACTGATGGGGCACTATTCCTCCCACTGATACCAATGATGGGGCACTATTCCTCTCTCACTGACACCAATGATGGGGCACTATTCCTCTCACTGACACCAATGATGGGCACTATTCCTCCCACTGATACCAATGATGGGGCACTATTCCCCCCACTAATTAACAATGATGGGACACTATTCCTCCCACTGATACCAATGATGGGGCACTATTCCTCCCACTGACACCAATGATGGGGCACTATTCCTCCCACTGACACCAATGATGGGGCACTATTCCTCCCACTGACACTAATGATGGGGCACTATTCCTCCCACTGACACCAATGATGGGGTACTATTCCTCCCAACTGACACCAATGATGGGGCACTATTCCTCCCACTGACACCAATGATGGGCACTATTCCTCCCACTGACACCAATGATGATGGGGCACTATTCCTCCCACTGATACCAATGATGGGGCACTATTCCTCCCACTGATACCAATGATGGGCACTATTCCTCCCACTGATACCAATGATGGGGCACTATTCCTCCCACTGACACCAATGATGGGGCACTATTCCTCCCACTGACACCAATAATGGAACACTATTCAAAAGTTATTAATTCATACAGTACAAGGTAAATATGTATCTGAAGTATTTTCCTAATTCACTGTTTTGTATATGTATTACATTCGACATGCAAAGAGAATAGCCTAATAATGTTCAATTTTGTCTCATTGGCATAGAATGGATGTACATCCAGTGTCACAGGAGAATAGCTCTTTTATAAATACAACCCCCCATGCATACTACTGTATATTTAAATATATTGAAAAACATTTTACTATCACTTATCATATTGGTTTTATTTCCGCTTTTCCTTTCCTCTTCCCTTTTATAGACAGGTTACAGCCTGCAGAGGACACACAAGAGGACAAGGAAGAAGGTGAAGGTGCTGGAAGGCAGCGTTTCTCACACATCAAATGCTGATGAAAATAAAATTCATGAGCAAAAGGTTGAACCGCAAGTATCTCCACCAGGGAATCTCTGCCATCACCATATGGACTCCAAAACGGTCGTCATACCGGAGGGACCTGGAGAACAATCAAGCAAAACGGGGAGGTAAAAATTTATAACACATTTACCAAAAAAATAGGCTGTAATAATGAGCTTGAGCTACGGGGTAGCTTTTATCTAATGGCAAGAGCATGACAACCAATTTTATATTCTTTTTTTTTTTTTTTCAAATTTATATTCTTCCCACTGACCACCAATGTAAGGACATTCTTCCCACTGATCCCCAATGTAAGGGACATTCTTCCCACTGACCACCAATGTAAGGGACATTCTTCCCACTGACCTCCAATGTAAGGGACATTCTTCCCACTGATCCCCCAATGTAAGGGACATTCTTCCCACTGACCACCAATGTAAGGGACATTCTTCCCACTGACCTCCAATGTAAGAGACATTCTTCCACTGGGTAAGGGACATTCTTCCACTGACCACCAATGTAAGGGACATTCTTCCCACTGACCTCCAATGTAAGAGACATTCTTCCCACTGATCACCAATGTAAGGGGCATTCTTCCCACTGATCACCATGTAAGGAGCATTCTTCCCACTGACACACCAATTGTAAACGACATTCTTCCCACTGACCACCAATGTAAGGGGCCACTGCATTCTTCCCACTGACCACCAATGTAAGGACATTCTTCCAACTGACGACCACAATTAAGTGATATTCTTCCCACTGACCACCAATGTAAGGGACATTCTTCCCACTGAAGGGACATTCTTCCCATGAATCCCCAATGTAAGGGACATTCTTCCCCACTGATTGTAAGGAGCATTCTTCCCACTGACCACCAATGTAAGGGACATTCTTCCCACTGACCACCAATGTAAGGGACATTCTTCCCACTGACCACCAATGTAAGGAGCATTCTTCCACTGATCCCCAATGTAAGGGACATTCTTCCCACTGACCCCCAATGTAAGGGATATTCTTCCCACTGACCACCAATGTAAGGGACATTCTTCCACTGACCACCAATGTAAGGGATATTCTTCCCACTGACCACCAATGTAAGGAGCATTCTACCCACTGACCACCAATGTAAGGAGCATTCTACCCACTGACCACCAATGTAAGGGACGTTCTTCCCACTGACCACCAATGTAAGGGACGTTCTTCCCACTGACCCCCAATGTAAGGGACGTTCTTCCCACTGATCCCCAATGTAAGGGACATTCTTCCCACTGACCACCAATGTAAGGAACATTCTTCCCACTGACCACCAATGTAAGGGACATTCTTCCCACTGATCACCAATGTAAGGGACATTCTTCCCACTGATCCCCCAATGTAAGGGACATTCTTCCCACTGACCACCAATGTAAGGGGCATTCTTCCCACTGATCCCCAATGTAAGGGACATTGTTCCCACTGATCCCCAATGTAAGGGACATTGTTCCCACTGATCCCCAATGTAAGGGACATTGTTCCCACTGATCCCCAATGTAAGGGACATTCTTCCCACTGATCCCCAATGTAAGGGACATTCTTCCCACTGATAACCAATGTAAGGGACATTCTTCCCCACTGATTACCAATGTAAGGGACATTCTTCCCACTGATAACCAATGTAAGGGACATTCTTCCCCACTGATTACCAATGTAAGGGACATTCTTCCCACTGATCCCCAATGTAAGGGACATTCTTCCCACTGACCACCAATGTAAGGGACATTCTTCCCACTGACCACCAATGTAAGGAGCATTCTTCCCACTGACCACCAATGTAAGGGGCATTCTTCCCACTGACCACCAATGTAAGGGGCATTCTTCCCACTGACCACCAATGTAAGGGACATTCTTCTTTCATCCCATACATTCTTAGCATGGGTACCATTAGACCTGAAAATTATTTAAGGGTTCCTTTGGGGTCAAAAGTTAGAAAAGTCTGATGTGGAAGAATCTTCAATTGTTCGGTTTTCCAGGTTCCAGGAGAAGAAGGAAAAGACGGCCAATTCCGAAGCCACAAATTAAACCTCCGAATGGCGTTCACTCTGCAGGAGATATGGGCCAGACATTCGGTATGTTAAAGTGAAACTTCCGTGTATTATAATTGAGATAATAAATTGGAACATATTTTTCGTTATTATAAGAATTACTTATATGAAGCAATTGCAGATCATTTCTTTATGCTCGTTGGGCCGTGTCCCCAGAACCGCTGGATTCCAAAACACATATGAGGTCATATATGTGTTTTGAACCACTCTGGATGGACTGGTGGCCCAGTCTGGGCTGCCAACAGAGGGGTAAAGGCCCTATCAGGTCAGCAGAGGCCCCTTGCTGCTCTTCTACGATGTCATCTTCTGGCCGCTCCAACATTCTTCCTCCTATTGGGTGACAGAGTTGACGTTGGGCTAGACCTGCAAGGTGCCTCTTCTTGGCTTGGTCCCTCAACAGTATCTCATGCCTTTGGTGCCCAGTGCCACCTTGATGCATTTATAATTTTGGGGTCATATCTAGGGGCGGACTGACAACTCATGGGGCCCCCGGGCAATAGGGGATCATGGGGCCCCAGTGTCCTTGCCCAAACTCAAAAAATCCTATGAAGAAGGTACCAGGGGCATCTCATGGGGCCCTCTACTGACCCCCGGGCCCTCGGGCAGTGCCCGAGTTTCCAAATGGTCAGTCCGCCCCCGGTCATATCCAGCCTGGGAAAACATGGACAAGAAGAGCATTGCCAGCAAGAGCGGGAGCTGTCTATGGATCTGACACAACCAATGAACTGCTTTTGGAGGCCTCCCCAGCTCCAAACAGGGTGGCAACTGAGATGCTGGAGACTCTGAGAACCCTGGCTTTGCTGTGAGAGGGGGGGGGGGTAATTGGGCTGGAGGTGGCATAATTGATGCTCCTAGGTGGGTCGCTATCAAATGCAAATTCCTCCTATTGCTTCCTGTGGAGGCCATCTGGTTCCTCAGTGGGTGCTAAGGGGTTTAGGGTGGCCAGTACATTCAATGCAGATGATCTGGATAAAGATGTGTGCGTGTGTGAATCAATGGCATCGGTTGGGGATGTGATGATGGAAGCAGCTGGAAAGGGGGAAGGTAGTTAGATCCAGGGTGCATCTATACCTTCTCTTCTGAGGAAACATGCAAGAGACAGGGAGGGAAACTAGCTCTAAACAAGAGGGGAGGACAGATGGAGATACCAAATTCCATCAGTAAACAAGTAGTAGTACCTCAAAAATGCCTCTAGAGGTCAGCATACTACAGAATGATAGTAACCTGATGCAGTTCGATGCAACACAGAAAACATACATATCAGTGGGATGGAACCCTTGTGCTAGGATGTGATGAGGATGAGCATTGGGGAGACCCTCAAAGCAATGTACAGGGAAGACATCTAATCTGTCACTCCAGAGACAATGTGGGAGCAGCAGAAGAGATGTCACCCAAGAAATTGGGAGTTATGGGGTATGGAAAGGTATCAGATGGTGTCACATGGGTAAGGAGGGGTACCAGATGGTGCTGCAAATATTTATTACATTATGTCAAATGTGTGAGGAGATGTATCTGATGGTGTCCTAAGGATGAAGAGGGTCTCTGGATGGTGTCATAGAGGTGAGGAGGGGTACAAGATGGTGTCACAGAGGTGAGGAAGGGGTACAAGATAGTGTCACAGAGGCAAGGAAGGGTACAAGATGGTGTCACAGAGGCGAGGAGGGGAACAAGATGGTGTCACAGAGGCGAGGAGGGGTACAAGATGGTGCCACAGAGGCGAGGAGGGGTACAAGATGGTGCCACAGAGGCGAGGAGGGGACACATGGTGCCACAGAGGCGAGGAGGGGGACACATGATGGTGTCCACAGAGGCGAGGAGGGGTACACAGATGGTGTCACAGAGGCGAGGAGGGGACACAAGATGGTGCCACAGAGGCGAGGAGGGGTACAAGATGGTGCACAGAGGCGAGGAGGGGACACAAGATGGTGTCACAGAGGCGAGGAGGGGGACACAAGATGGTGTCACAGAGGCGAGGAGGGGTACAAGATGGTGTCACAGAGGTGAGGAGGGGACACATGATGGTGTCACAGAGGCGAGGAGGGGTACAAGATGGTGTCACAGAGGCGAGAAAGGGTACACATGATGGTGTCACAGAGGTGAGGAGGGGTACACATGGGTGCCACGAGGCGAGGAGGGGTACAAGATAGTGTCACAGAGGCGAGGAGGGGTACACATGATGGTGTCCACAGAGGTGAGGAGGGGTACAAGATGGTGTCACAGAGGCGAGGAGGGGTCACAAGATGTGTCACAGAGGCGAGGAGGGTACAAGATGGTGTCACAGAGCGAGGAGGGGTACAAACATGGTGTCCACAGAGGCGAGGAGGGGTACAAGATGGTGTCACAGAGGCGAGGAGGGGTACAAGATGGTGCCACAGAGGTGAGGAGGGGACACATGATGGTGTCACAGTGGTGAGGAGGGGTACAAGATGGTGTCACAGAGGTGAAGAGGGGTACAAGATGGTGGGAGGAAGAGTTAGTAGAGTCCCCCTTTAAATACTATTCTATAACGGTTTGATTATATTAAAGTTCACAATGTGCCTATTTAAGTCACCTAATAAAGTTTGCTTTCACAAATATACTCCTAGTGCCATCTACTGGCTATTTTTGGCATTACAGAGTGAGATATTTAAACTCAGTTTTGTGCTCAGCTATAGGTTATATGCTATATTGCCCAAAGTATTGGCCCCGCCCTCCAAATCATATGATCCAGGTGTTCCAATCCCCTCCCAATCATGTGATTCAGGTGTTCCAATCCCCTCCATGGACACAGGTGTATACAATCAAGCCCCTAGGCATGCAGACTGCTTCTACAAACATTGGTGAAAGAATGGGTCGCTCTCAGGAGCTCAGTGACTCCAAGCGTGGTCCCGTGATAGGTGGTCACCTGTGCAATAAGTCCATCCGTGACATTTCTGGCTACTAAATATTCCACGCTCAACTGTTAGTGGGATTATAACAAAGTGGAAGCAACTGGGAACAACAGCAACTCAGCCACCAAGTGGTAGGCCACGTCACATGACAGGGCGGGGTCAGCGCATGCTGAAGCGCACAGTGCGCAGAAGTCGCCAACTGTCTGCAGAGTCAATAGCTAAAGACCTCCAAACTTGGTGTGGCCTTCAGATGAGCCCAACAACAGTGTGTAGAGAGCTAGAGGGGGGATAGGGAAGGGAGGGAGGAAGAGGGGGATGGGGATAGGGGAGGGGGGATAGGGAAGGGAGGAAAGGGAAGGGAGGGAGGAAGAGGGGGATAGGGAAGGGAGGGAGGGGAAGAGGGGGATAGGGAAGGGAGGGAAGGGGAAGAGGGGGGATAGGGAAGGGAGGGAAGGGAAGGGGGGGAAGAGGGGGAAGGGAAGGGAGGAAGAGGGGGATAGGGAAGGGAGGAAGAGGGGGATAGGGAAGGGAGGAAAGGGAAGGGAGGAAGAGGGGGATAGGGAAGGGAGGAAAGGGAAGGGAGGAAGAGGGGGGATAGGGAAGGGAGGAAAGGGAAGGGGGAAAGGGAAGGGAGGAAGAGGGGGATAGGGAAGGGAGGAAGAGGGGGATAGGGAAGGGAGGAAGAGGGGGTTAGGGAAGGGAGGGAAGGGGAAGAGGGGGGGGTTAGGGAAGGGGAAGAGGGGGGATTAGGGAAGGGGAAGGGGGGGATAGGGAAGAAGAGGGGGGATAGGGAAGGGGAAGAGGGGGGAAAGGGAAAAGGGGGGGAAGGGAAAGGGGGGATAGGGAAGAGGGGGGATAGGGGAGGGGGTTAGGGAAGGGAGGGGGGAAAGGGGAAAAGGGGGTGATAGGGAAAGGGGGATGGGAAAAGGGGAGGGAGGGGAGAAAGGGAATGGAGAGGGAGGGGAAAAGAGGAGGGGGGATGAGAAAAGGGAAGGGGGGAAGGAAAAGGGCGAAGGGAAAGAGGGAAGGGGAAGAGGGGGGGGGGGAAAGGGGAAGGGGGGGAGGGAAGGGGTCCCCATTAGGGAAGCTGTTAAAGTGTATGTAAACTTGGACCGTACATTTCTCGAATTCGCTCCCTTTTGGACTAATTAAAGGATCTAAATTTTGCTGTGGGGGCCCCATCACGATTTTTCTGTGGGGCCCCGTGATTTGTAGTCACTCTGAAACATGCAATCTGGCTAGGAATGTGTCTTGTCTGAAAAAAAAAAATGCTCGATAATAATTTATTCTTTAATAGTCGATGATTTCCGCCCTGCAGATCTGTACAGAAGAGCCATGCATGCTCTAAAGGTGAAGCAAGAACTGCGAAGGAAGGTCAACCCGTAACGGGCCAGGACTTGGCTGCGCCATCACAGAGCTAGGACGCCCCCCCCATGTCCCCTAGATAGCAGATCCCACCAATCGGTATCACAGAGCCTAGGATGCCCCCCCATGTCCCCTAGATAGCAGTCCCACCAATCGGTATCACAGACCTAGGATGCCCCCCCCCCATGTCCCCTAGATAGCAGATCCCACCAATCGCATCACAGACCTAGGACACCCCCCCATGTCCCCTAGATAGCAGATCCCACCAATCGGTATCACAGACCTAGGATGCCCCCCCATGTCCCCTAGATAGCAGATCCCACCGATCAGCATCACAGACCTAGGACACCCCCCCATGTCCCCTAGATAGCAGATCCCACCAATCGGTATCACAGACCTAGGACGCCCCCCCATGTCCCCTAGATAGCAGATCCCACCAATCGGCATCACAGACCTAGGACCCCCCCCATGTCCCCTAGATAGCAGATCCCACCAATCGGTATCACAGACCTAGGATGCCCCCCCATGTCCCCTAGATAGCAGATCCCACCATCGCATCACAGACCTAGGACACCCCCCCATGTCCCCTAGATAGCAGATCCCACCAATCGGTATCACAGACCTAGGATGCCCCCCCATGTCCCCTAGATAGCAGGTCCCACCAATCGGCATCACAGACCTAGGACGCCCCCCCATGTCCCCTAGATAGCAGATCCCACCAATCGGCATCACAGACCTAGGACGCCCCCCCATGTCCCCTAGATAGCAGATCCCACCAATCGGTATCACAGACCTAGGACGCCCCCCCATGTCCCCTAGATAGCAGATCCCACCAATCGGTATCACAGACCTAGGATGCCCCCCCATGTCCCCTAGATAGCAGATCCCACCAATCGGTATCACAGACCTAGGACGCCCCCTCCATGTCCCCTAGATAGCAGATCCCACCGATCAGCATCACATACCTAGGACACCCCCCCCATGTCCCCTAGATAGCAGATCCCACCAATCGGTATCACAGACCTAGGACGCCCCCCATGTCCCCTAGATAGCAGATCCCACCGATCGGTATCACAGACCTAGGACGCCCCCTCATGTCCCCTAGATAGCAGATCCCACCGATCAGCATCACATACCACAACAGAATCACAACCGGGTAGAAATCATTAGAACGGGTAGTTTGTACAACGCCACAGCTCATGTCCTAGCATCGGAAGTAGCAGGTGTGATAATAAATGATTATTTTGTCACATGGGACGTATCGACTTTATGCCAGCCCATGAAAACGATCCTGTTGTTTGATTGGCTGGCCTTGGCGGGCAGAGGAGGAATCGGGGGTCTAATAGGCTCCTGCTCTCTCCATGAAGAGGACCTGTCACTGCCCAGAGCTATCTCGCGGGGGGGGGGGCTGGTCTTAGTCACCTCCCATGGTAGCTGAAGTTACAAAAAAAAAAAAAAAAAAAAATGTTAAAAGTGTAATAAACAATGTAAATAAAATACACAAAAAGAATGAAAACAAAATATGTAAAAGCACAAATGTCTGTACTCTGCCCATAGCCGTTGTCATAGAATAAAAAAAAAAGGATTGCTGCGTCGTCTCAGATTATTGTTACTTCTTCTGTTCCATTGATACATTGTATGTACCGTGTCACCATCACATGCATGTGGTATGTTAGTCTAGGTTCACACCTAAGCAGGGACATAGATAAGGGGGGGTTATGGGGGTCCAACCCCCCCCCCCACCCACCCAGAGCCTTCTACCAAAATGTCCAGTGAAGCGTTTTCCGCTTCATTTTGCAGAAACGCACAGCAGTCCATTTAACATGATTTCCTATGGGACAGGTTCCCATCTCCACGTTTTCACCCAGTGCGTTACCCACCATGCCATTAATACCATCCGTCATACCATCATGACCACCCGCCATACCATCATGACCATCACCATGCCCGCCATGCCATCATGACCACCCACCATCATGCCATCATGCCACCACCCACCATTCCATCATGACCATTCACCATTCCATCATGAACATTCACCATGCCCGCCATTCCATCATGACCACCCACCATGCCATCATGACCACCACCATGCCACCATGACCTGCCATCATGACCATCACCATGACCATCATGACCACCCACCATTCCATCATGACCATCCATGCCATCATGACCACCCGCCATGCCATCATGACCACTCACCATGCCCACATGACCATGACCACTCACCATGCCATCATGACCACCCACCATGCCATCATGACCACTCACCATGCCCACATGATGCCACATGACACACCATGCCATCATGACCACCCACCATTCCATCATGACCACCCACCATGCCATCATGACCACTCACCATGACCACCCACCATGCCATCATGACCACTCACCATCACCCATGCCATCATGACCACACCCACCATCATGACTACCATCATGACCATTCACCATGCCTGCCATGCCATCATGACCACCACCATGACCACCATCATGACCACTCACCATGCCTGCCATGCCATCATGACCATTCCATTCACCATTCCATTATGACCGCCCGCCATGCCATCATGACCATTCACCATTCCATTATGACCGCCCGCCATGCCATCATGACCATTCACCATTCCATTATTATGACCACCCATCATGCCATGCCATTTTATCATGACCATTCACCATGCCATTATGACCATCCACGTGATACTCATATGCCCATTGTAGGCACCTTTGGCTGTGGACACGGGTCAGCATGGGCACTGTGACCAGACCGCTGCAGCTACACAGCCCCATACACAACAAACTGCGATGCTCTGTGTGTTATGACACCTTTCTACCAGAACAAGCATTCACTTTTTCACCAATTTGTAGTTCTATTGGAATGGACTACATGGGCCAGCCTTCCCTCCCCACCCATCCATCAATGAGCCTTCTCTCCACACCACTTCCATCAATGAGCCTTCCCTCCCACTTCCATAAATGAGCCTTCCCTCCCCACCTCCATCATTGAGCCTTCCTCCCCACCTCCATCATTGAGCCTTCTCTCCCCACCTCCATCAATGAGCCTTCCCTCCCCACCACTCCATCAATGAGCCTTCCCTCCCACCTTCCATCAATTAGCCCTTCCCACCCCACCTCCATCAATGAGCCTTCCCTCCCCCCACCTCCATCAATGAGCCTTCCCTCCCCTACCTTCATCAATGAGCCTTCCCTCCCCCCACCTTCATCAATTAGCCTTCCCTCCCCACCTCCATCAAGGAGCCTTCCCTCCCCACCTCCATCAAGGAGCCTTCCCTCCCCACCTCCATCAAGGAGCCTTCCCTCCCCACCTCCATCAAGGAGCCTTCCCTCCCCACCTCCATCAAGGAGCCTTCCCTCCCCACCACCATCAATGAGCCTTCCCTCCCCACCACCATCAATGAGCCTTCCCTCCCCACCACCATCAATGAGCCTTCCCTCCCCACCTCCATCATTGAGCCTTCCCTCCCCACCTCCATCACGAGTCGCACGACAGAGGACAGTCGCACGACCAGAACAAGCATTCACTTTTTCACCAATTTGTAGTTCTTCTATTGGAATGGATTACATGGGCCAGCCTTCTCTCCACACCACTTCCATCAATGAACCTTCCCTACCACCTCCATCAATGAGCCTTCCCTCCTCACCTCCATCAATGAGCCTTCCCTCCCACCTCCATCAATGAGCCTTCCCTCCCCACCTCCATCAATGTGCTTTCCCTCCCCACCTCCATCAATGAGCCTTCCCTCCCCACCTCCATCAATGAGCCTTCCCTCCCCACATCACGAGTCACACGACAGAGGAGGGGACAAAACAGCCACAATGGCAACGCTCATCCTACAGACCTTCTCCGTTTCATTATTTCCACCGAACCTTACATTACACGTCCCACCG